AGGTTGGTGTGTGTTGGTGTTTGCTTAGATGCTGGTTCTTTCTCTCACCTTCTTTTCCACCGATGGTTACCTGTCATTTTGTGTCTGAGATTTGTGTGATGTATGCACATCTGAGGAGAAGGAATACAGCCCTTGTGATTACAGCAGCCAACTTGCAGACTTCAGGTGTCCTGTAACAAAACTGTTCGTTTGGATTTTCCTTCGTTTGCACATACAAGTGGAGGCTGTATTGGTGCACACCAACCGAGGGGCAGCCATTCATGAGAACAGTGGCTATACTCCAGACTTGGGTGTGATCCTTTGTCAGCCCTGCTGTCAGTTGGAAATCTGGTCCTGATAAGCAAGACCAGCTGCTCTAGTCCTCCTTCTCCTCCATGTGGCATCCAGTGTGCAAATCCAACACAGTCTTCTGAATCACCTCTTTTGCTGGTAGAAAGCAGAGACCTGCCTTCCCCAGAGCAGTAGTCCTGGGAGGACCACACTTAGGGTGAAATTGTGAGCATCAGGAACGCACCTCAGTGCAACTGGCTGGTTTGAAAATTGTGCTATTGACTTGTGATCTGGTGTTGCTGATTGAGGCAGTAGGGTGTGAGAGTCTTTGAGAAATCATCTAACCTAGCTCACTACCTTCAGGCAAAACCAGCTTATCTGATGTTTCTGTAGCCCAGTCTTAAAACCTTCAGTAGACAGCAATTCCATAACCCCACCAGTCAATGAAATCCAGGGTGGCACTGTCATCCCCACTAGAAGGCTTCTGACCTCTTACTGAAATCTTTACCATTGTGATTTAGATCTAGTTTTGCTTTATCCCGATCCTCTGTGGGAAGGGAGAACAGATTATTCACTTCTTTCCAGCTACGTGTTGTGTATTTTAAAGATAGTTATCATGCATGTCCTCACTCTTCACTAGACTAAACAACCTAGTTCCTTCAGTCATTCTTTGTAGGTCATGTTTTCTAGGCTGCAGAGAAGTCTTGTTCCCCAGTGGACTGTCAAATCAATCTGCTGCTGTTTTTGAAGCGTTATGCCCCAAACCAGCTGGCTGTGTGAGGTTGATGCTAAGCAGAGGGAGGAGTTGGTAGAGGCCGTCTGCTGGTCACCAGGAGCTCAGTGTGTCAGCCTCCACAGAGAATAACAAGTTTATTGAGCAAAGCAGCGCAACCAACATGTACGCACTGGGGGCTTGGCCTCTGAGTGGGAGAAACCTCCTTGGTGCCTCTGAGGTTCAAGTGCCCCAGCGTGCTGTCAAAGCTACAGCAGTGTGTTCAACCTGGACTGAGTTTGTTGGCAGGGCTACAGGAGAGATGTGTGTCTGTCCTGTGTGCAGTGTGTATCAGCAGGTCCTTGCTTTTGTAGTCTAGACTTGCACTTTCATTGTTACTGTCTTACCTATAAAACACAAAAAAGAGGAGGCTGAAGGGAGGGAGCAGAGTACTTAATTTCTCCTCTCGGCTTGTGCAGTGAGTTACCTGAATTTCCAGAGAGTGTCTCAACTTTGGCTTCCTTAAAAACTCAGCAGATTGCCATCGCTTCAGGATTTTCTTTTTCTTCCAGTGTTTCAGCTGATTTCATAAGAAAGGTTGTTGGACTGTGAGTGTGGGAGACCTTATACAAAGAAACCAACCAAGGGATCACTCCTATTTTCTTAGGGTCCTTTCAAGACAGAGGAGCGTCCTCAGTCCTGAATTTACAATTTAGGCTTGGGCTCAAAATAGACCTTGCAGAACACAATTGCCTGGGAGTGGCCAGTTACCCAGCAGGTGTTCTTCATCGGCAAAGCTTCTCCTTCCTCTCACCAATCTGCTGAAAGCTACTGTCCTGCAATAACTAGGAATTTCACTAACAGCCTCCTACAGTCACACCCATAGCAAAGGGACCTCAGCAAAGAAAGCCACCAAAACATGACCAACAGGTACATTGCAGCAAGCTGACGTGGAGGATCAAGCCCACCTCCAAAGTGGCATAACTTCTGGCCAAGAAAAGGGTGAAGGAGCCCTGCAGCCCATTTCCCAGATCTCAGGCTCATGCCTCTCTGCATTTTTCGCTCTGTTTGTTGTCTGCTGCTGCTTCCGTGCCTTCCCCTCCCCAAACATGTGGGCCTTGTGCCAGGCTTGGGCGTTGTACAAGCACTCAGCCCTGCAAGGCTGCCAGGTGGTGATGTTGCAAGAGAACACAGGGTTGTTTCTGCAGCATTTTGAGGCGATAATCCTAATTTCCCACTTCTTCAGTATTGGCAACAGCTTTAAGGGATGGAACATAATTACCCTGTGAAACAGATTTGATTTCCTACCAGGTCTTTTGTCTCTGCCAGGTAGTCTTAAAAGTTAAGTGTTTTGGAGGGAGAATTTCATAACACATGACTGATCCTTCAACAATCCGCGTGCAGATTTGACCCTGGAGTGTTTTTACAGACTCTGTGGAACTGTTGAATACAAATATTTTTTTTATTTCCTCATTATTTGCTAAACATTTAGGTCTTGATCATCTGCTGACTTTCCATTTCAAGTTGCACATGCCAATGAGCCAACTCTGCCTGTTTCCCTCGGCCTTGCTCATGGGTTAAACTAACCTATTTGGGACATTAATTACCTGGGAGAAGCATCTCTTGGAGCTTGAAACTGAGCCTCTGCTCCAATACGTGGCAAGATTTATGACCTGGCAGATAAATTGGATTTAGCAGAGCTGAAGCTGTAATACCTGATTGTATCAGAGCACAGTGTGTGTATGTGGGTGTGGGGGCTAGGTGGGGCTCAAACACCTTCTGAAAATGCAGCCTCTTCCTTTGCAGCCTCCCTTCCTTTGAAACCTAGCTAAAAGGCAATGAGTGCTAACAGAGCAGATAGGTTTGGAAAGGATCACTTCTGCTTGGCTGACTTCTGAAAGATGGGTAATTCTAAAACAACAGAATTATTTCTTAGAGGCTGAACCGACTCAGAGCATTCCTTCTGCCCTTCTCCCAGGGGTAGATATTGTTTTGTTCTGTTGCAATTACAGTTCCACCCTGAAAATGGGATCTACTATTTTGTTGTTTATTAACTTCTGGGGGAATCCTCACTGAGAATTCACCTGAGGCATTATAATCCTGGTGAAATGAACTGCACCTTAGGAGTGTGTTTCTTTCTCTCCTTGAAACAACTAGTGTGCCTAGGACAAGTAGGAAGGAGTAAGAAAATGCTGGCAAGAGAGGAAGGAAGGATGGACAGTCAGCATGATCTTTCTACTCCATCCCACTGGGATTAGTGCTTTGGCCTGTGATTGTTGGTTTGAGATGAAAGATGAGATACAAATGATGAGGTGCTGGATGGAGGTGGGTCAAGACTCTGGAGAAAGCTGGGCCAGCAGTATAGACACAGGTGTTTATCTGGACAGGACAGGCTGGCTTCAAAGCTTGCATCCAGGTTGCTGCTGCAGAATAGATCTGTCACTAGGTAGGAATGGGTTTTTTTATGTATGCTTTGGGTTTAAGCATCCTTTGTTAGTGTGCTCTCCCTGCTGAGAAGGGCAGGTCACTGCTATGGCAGTGCAGCAGTGGGAAGCAGGTCTCTAGGGCCTCCTCCACACAAAAGAGATGTGGAGGTCCTCTTGGAGATGTTTGTATGCTCCAGAGCATTTTTGGAGGGGGTGAGAGCAGCATCCTTGGAATTTAATGATTTCTTCCTTGGGGGGAAAAAAGGGAAGAAGAGTGTGAGAAATGTATCGGAGATTCACGAGGCAGAGAGGTGACACAAAGCGGCTCTCTGCTGTGCCTCAGAGCCATGAGTCATCTCCAAGAATCTCCAGCCATGCAAACTTAGGTGGATTTCATTAATATCTTCAATCCAAAGCTTAATGTGATGAAGGCTATGAAGTGAACTGGCTTGGGAAGGAGGGTCAGCTTCTCCTTACATGCAGCTTTAATTAAAATGATTCGGAGGGTGTGCCTGTTACCTTGTCAGAGAGCACAACCCAGGGCTGGATGCCTGTGGGAATGCAGGCTGTGGTGCTGGATCCGTGCGTAACGTCAGCTCCTCCAGGGAAGTGGTACGTCAAGACTTGTTGGCTTGGCTGCAGCACCATGATGCCGTATGGGCTCAGCTTCTGCTCTGCTCTCTGTGTGGAGTAGTGCTCCCAGATCTGTACTTTCTTCTCACAGTGGGAAGAGATGAGCTCTTTGAGAATGATAGAATTTTTTTTTTTGTTTAAACAATACAATTCTCCCATAGGTTGATGTGGATAGCAGAAAGCAAAATTGCATCCTTCCATGCAATGAACAGTGCTGCTTTGATAGATTTGACCGCTTAGTTTCAGACGTTGTGCAGTCTGGAACAGCAGCTGATGTTCGTGGAAAACAGGAAATCGCAATGCAAATGCAGTACCAAGTGCACATGGCTGTCAGTGTGCACCTGATATTCTTCATGTTACATAGTTACAAATATTAGTCATGGTAATAGTGATAGAGAATCAAGTAATAGCAAATAGTGGTTGCAATCTGTGAGAAGTGTCTGGACATTTTGTGGATGCAGACATTTTCTGGCATCGTGGACTACTGTCCATAGAAACCCTGCTCGTTACATTTAAAAAAAAAAAAAAATTCATAATTGGTTGGTTCAACATTCACCAGTACAGATCATTGCTTTCCAGTGGAAGCATTTTATGCTTTTCACTGGCCATTGCATCAATGGATAGCGCAAGGAGAAAATGTGCTCATTAGATATGAACTTAATTGAGAGTGACATGGCTGGGTATTAATATTAGTCTTGCCTTAGGCTTTTTCTTTTCTTTTTGTTTTTTATATTCACTCTAGTAGATACTGAGCATGTTATCCGTTTACTGAATTCCATAACAGCGCCATCAATAGAGGGTATAGATTTCCCATCTCTCTCTGTGTGTGGAGCATCAGAAGTGCCTCTCCTAGATGTGGGAGCAGTGGGTGCAGCAGGGCAGGGTTCTTCTGCCTTGCTTGGAACACAAGGTTACCCTTGCTACCTGTGTGACCTTTCTGATGATATTTCTATTTGCAGGAATCTGCGTTTAATGGTGTGTCAGTGCCTTATGGAATTCAACCTGGCATTTGTTTTACTGGGGAGCGGTTTGGCGACAAGCTGCCGATGCAGATTTATTTGGGATCCTTTCCTGAAGCGCTCCCATCTCTTTCCCCTCCCCCAAATGTGCTTGGGAGAAGAAATAAATTAATTACATCAAATAGAAGGGTCCATTTTCAGCAGCACTGGCAACAAGAGAGGCACGCTGGGAAGCACTGGTGAGAATGGGGCTGTGATTGGCACGGAGGGAGGCGGTGATTCACGGCAAGAGTGGGACGCACTCCTTTGTGTTTGAGAGGTTTCCCATGGAAGGCAGAGTAAAGATGCCGGTCTTGTCACTGTCACGACTAATTCAACCCTTTTTGGTGTATGAGCCTTTTTAGGCTAGGCTTCTTTTTTTTTTTTCTCCAGGCTTTTCTTGCCCCTGCGTGCTGTGTGGAGAGCTGTGAGAGAGGAACCCTCAGCTCTCCGGGGCAGATGCCTGCCATGGGATGATTTGTGGCTGTGAGGTCCGCTGCTCCACGCGCTCTCCCGCCGTTCCCGCTGCTCGTGGCCGGGACGAACAATTAGCTGGAGCAGTTTGTCTGGCAAGTCAGTGCCATCTGTGCTGGGAGCATTGTGTGCTGCACAAAGGATCTGGAGGGGATGAGGGCTACATCTTTAAAAATGGGAATACGCACAATTGAGTGGGAGAAAGGATGCTGTCACCTGCTTCTAACTGAATGTGGGACTGCTTGCATTGTTCCCTCCAAAAACGCTTGGTGTCACTTTTATTACCTGCAGCCATGCCAGGGCTCTGTAGCATGCCATTTATTTGGGGACGTGGTAATAGATTCAGTCATTCTGCCTGCTGCTGATATGTCTTGTTTTGTTTATATATATTTTACAGCTTTCAGCCTGGCAGTTTTGTCTCTCGGGTAATTAAACTGAATTATTGAAGGCTCTGAAATTAACACTCTCATTTTTAATAATTAAAATAAAGTAAATCCCAGCCTGTTTCACAAGTTAGGTTATTTCCTCTTCCTGATTTTAAGGTGCGTGTGAATTTGTTTGGAAGAACGTGAGCACTCAGATGGCTTGTTTTTAAAACTTTGTTTAACAAAAAGAGAGGGGAAAACCCTCTCTTTCCTGCAAGGTCAGTAAAACCATCCAACTTGCAGAGAATTCTGAGCAGTAGGTAGGGGAGTTCAGTGTATGGTAGGCGCTGCTGGGAGGAATCTTTCCTGCCTGCAGCTCCAGGCAAATACATGTAAAATAGAGTAGGAGTGTGGGATAATATCCTAGAGCAAGGAAGGAGCTTTGCAGATCGACTATTTTCAGTTTTTTCTTATAACGCTGCCCTTTTTTTTACTGACTCAATTGCATCGTATGTTTTGAACACTTAAAAAAAAAAAAAAAAAATCCATCAAATATTTGAATTTCATTTTTTAAGTTAATATTGGAATTTCCTATTGGCTGTAAATTTGGGAATATTCCTAGCGTGATGTTTGAGAATCATAGAATGATGGAGCTTTGTTTGAGTAACTCCAGTGTTAAGATTGAGGTTCTGGTCTTCGTTCTCTAACTCTGGGCCAACTGCACTCAGCCCCATTTCTGTGAATGACTTGGGCTTATTTCTCTTGACAAGGCTTTACAGAACCTGCCTTTGTATTTCAAATTTTGCTGTTTTGTGCTGAGTTAGGAGCTGTGAGCATGCGTTATGACATCTATGTGTGCGCAGAGCTGCAGCACGGGAAGGATGTGCTGCCCATAGGGGTGGTTTAAAAAAAAAAGAAAGACTGAGATGCTCTAGTTCTGCCTGTGCTGCTGCCTTACGGTGATGACGGTGAGGGAAAACTGGAAGGCAGAGCAATGTTCAGGATAGGCCAGTAAGTAATTCAGACTGGAAAGGACCTCAGGAGGTGTCTGGTGAAACCTGCTGCTCAAAGGAGGCTTGGCCACAGAATTAGAGCATGTTGCTCAGGGCTTTGTTCTCTTAGGTCTGGAAAACCTCGACTACGCAGACTGCAGTCCCTCCGGGCAGCCTGCTGCAATGCTGGACTGCAGGAATGAGGAAGCTCTGCAGGCCAGAAGTCTTTCTGTGCCTCTGCTTTGTGCATATGGTAAGGTGTAAAGCCACAGAAAAGTCACTTGTTCACAGGTGGGTTATGGAGATGCTGGAGAACAAAAGGAGTGGCCTCAGCCATAATGAAATTAGCTGGTTTATCTGTGCACACCCAGCACTTGATATTGATAACATATTGTTCTATTTCCTTAGTAACTCGTGTTATGGCAACAGCTGCCTGCCTGTTTGCAGCCAGCAGGTAAGCTGGGGGTGAGGGGAAGTCTGGGGCTGAGGGGCTGCTTCACCAGCAGTGGGGAATAAAGGGGTATTGACCTCCAAACTCCTCACAGACATTGTGTGAGACTTGGTCACTGGGGGCTGCTATGGACACCTGCTGAGGAGGGGCTTGAGGATGTGGCTTTGTATTGCAAAATAGCAACAACTTGGAAGCCTCAGACTGGTCACCACATGAAAGAATGTGGTTAATGTGCTGTATTGGGCCTTGTTGGACTTGGTTGACAGCAGACTTCTTGTGTAACCTTAGGCGAGTCAGTTAGCTCTTCCATATTGTAGTTCCCATCTGTGAAATGTGTATAGCAAGGTTTAACTGAACCATGAGCTCTCTGGTGGAGGTGGCTTCATTGAGCATTGCCAAATGGAGCTTTTGAGCTGTAGAGTCCTGGCTGCAGTGGGTGATGTGTAGCTTTTTTAACTTCATGTGTCCTCTGGTCTGTGTTCCTTCTCAACTGGTACTCTGGGCATAGGGTGTGGAGATCACTTTGGCTGTGTATGCTCCTGGGACTTGCTTGCAAAGGAATGTTTTGGCATTCAGGTGCTGGGTTGGTGCTTCAGAAAGCTCCTTCAGGTGAAATACTTGGCAAGTTTGTCTTCACGTCTCTGGAACTGTGGGAAGATTTTTTTAATTGGAAAATCTGGTTCAGCCTCTTCCTAATTTTCAGGAAAGACTGATGGAAGGATTATGACCAGCCCTAATTTTGCAAATGAGGTAAGGAAGCAAAGCTAGTATAATAAAACCACAGGGTAATGTGTCATCTTGTGCCCTGTCTTCACTCACTAGGCGCACTGTTTAGTTGTAATGATGTGTGAACTTCTATGCAAGTAAATGTTCTGGAATATGTTTTGCCAAAGGAAAGAAATCTCAGTAATACTAGATCTCATGATATCTCCCTGCTGTTTGGGGCATGCAAATTATGGGCGAGTTTCTAATGTGTTAAGTTCCCACAAGCCTAAACTGAATCCTTAAGGAGAAGCCAGTGGGAAAGATGTTTCCCAGGACAGTGGTATTTTTTTTGTCTAGCTTTGCAAAAAGTCTTTTTTTTTTTTTTTTTTTTAAATGAGCATCAATATTGTCTAACATTCTTCCTCATAGGAGCAAGAAGCATGAACTTTCCTTTTGCAACATTGCCTGCACAGGAGCTGGTGGATTCAACCTGTTAGGATTAGATGTCAGGCTTTAGGGATTTTCAAACTGATGTCTTGAGCCTGAGTGACCACATAGATGTGCATGAAATGGGTTCAGGAGGCACTGCAGCAAGTGCAGCTGTGGTGTGTGTTTCAGAGACCACGATGGCAGGAGGGAAATCTTGCAGTGGCACCACACCTATATACAGAGGTGGAAAAGCCTAACCTGCTCATCCTGCCCATCTCCCAGCTCTCATGTCAAACTGCCCTTCTGATCTGTATCATTTTCCCAAGGGGCTGTTTTTCTAAAGTAATACTCCCCTGATCTGGCTGATAACTGCCACTGTCCTTATTTTTTTTAGCTTCCAAACACTGTATCCCCCTACAGACAGTGAACCAGGCATGAAGTATTTGCCCTATGTCTTTTTCCCAGGTAGACATTGCTTTAGATACTGCAGCTGGGTTATACAATTGCAGCTAGGTGGGGTCGGCCTTTCTTCTGCCAGAGGTAGGAAGGGAAAGTTGTTTTGTTGAGATAAAGTGGGATTTTCTCCAATAGTTTGGTGTGTAATATGGCATCCCTTTCTCAATTGTGTTATCTTTGGCATTTAGGGATGACTATAGCTCTTCTCTTCAGGAAAGAGGCAGCGAGCGAATCAGGGATTTGGGAATGCATCAATTTGAGCAGCTCCCTGTTCTCCAAAGAAAGGGATTCAGAATGAGCTCTGTGCACCCCAGGGATCTGGCAGTTGGCAGTGTTGGGGGTGCTGATTTGCAGCTTTTTGCTGGGTCCTTGTGGCACTGACCTTTGTGAACCTCTTGTGGGGTTTCTGTTGCTTTGCTGAGGCTCTGCCACTGGCTGCTGGCGTCTGTACAGCAGACATCTTCCCCAGATGTTCTCAAGGCTGTCAGCACCAAAATTAGAGCAGTGAGTCGGGTGCCTGGGAGTACTGGGGATGGCAGGGCTGCCCCATGGTCCCCAGAGCAATCCACCCAGCACAGCCTCAGGGTCACCTGGCAGGATGAGGGTGGAACTGCATTGAAAGGGAACAGTTTGTGCTTAGGAATAACAGTCTGACCCATGGCATCAAGGCTGAAAGGGAAGAGGACAGAGCATTGCGTTTTCTTTTTTTTATTTGTGCTTTCTTGCCCTTGATAGTGTCCTTTATGGGCAGAAGCACAGACAATTGATTATAGCTGTGCATCACTCTGATAACCATTAATTATAATTCACAAAAAGGGTTTAAAAAGCCAATGGTGACGCAGTAACTGTGATAAACTCCCTAAATTTTCCTGGAGCTTTGTATGAGGAAGGCCTCCTTGTTCTCTTGGTGATCATAAATCCATCAGGTAGGTATGCAGGTCCTTAACAATATGCCGATCATTACATGCAAACTTGCCAATATTTGTAAAATACTCCATTATTTTGTTTATCTGAAATGTTGTCACTGAGGCTGTGGTTCAGGCATCTGAATATTTGAGATCCTCTTTAAAAATGAAGACCATCAGAGTAAAGGCAAAAAGAAAAAAAGACACCCTTTATCCAGTGTCTTAATTAAAACTAATTAGTGAGAGCGAAAGTGTTTGCACTTCATTATTTTGGAGCTGACCTGTCTGATCAAGGGACTGTGAGACTGTGAAGAAAATTCAGCTCAGGGATGAGCCCCTCTTGCAGTCTGCTAAGTGGTGTCTGTCGTCCTCCCCTCTCCAGTGAAGCTGTACTAATCTGTCTGAAAGCTCACGCTCCCAAGGGCCTCCCAGTGCTGCAGCAGTGACCTGAAGGAGAGTGTATTACTTGTTTTACTTTGGAGAAAAGCTGAAAGTCAGTTTTTTTCCTGGTCCAAAAACTCTGCAGAAGCAGCTTGTTGAAGTGCTAAAGGGCATCTGAACCAAGAGGGACTTCTGTCCATTGCCTTCATCCTGAACGTGCCTGGCTCACGGTTGACAGATCCAAGAGACCTGTTACGCCCTTTGCAAGTGCACAGCTCCTTTGATGGCTGTGAGACGTGTATTCAAGTTGGCCACGTTAATCTCTGGGGTAATTTCAGTGACTTTAAGTAGAATTAAATCAGGGCTGAATTCACTCCTGCATCTTTATTTTTGCAAGTTAATTTGGGTGGAATCTACTTCTAATTATGCCTTACTTTGTGATGCCAGGCCTGTGTGCGTGTCGTGTGGCAGCGGGCTCTGTGTACAAAATGCATTGATACTGGAGGGTGTTTTGGTTTGGGAGGGCTTTTGGGATGGCCAATGCTTTTTGTCCCAGCTGAGGACGTTTTGAAATCAATTCAGCACTTTCATAGAATCATAGAATGGCTTGGGTTGGAAGGGATCTTAAAGATCATCCAGTTCCAGCACTCTGTTTTGGGCTGGCTGGCATCCACCAGATCAGACTGCCCAAGGCCCCATCCAACCTGGCCTTGAATGCCTCCAGGGGTGGGCACCACAGCTCTCTGAGCAGCCCATGTCAGGGTCTCACTGCCCTTTTGTCCCCACTGTTTGTGCTGAAAGGCCGTTCCTGAGTCTCATGCCTCCTTTTCCTAGTTTCTAGCCTAACTGTCTTCATATCTACTCTGTGTTCATATTGTTATCCCTTTCTGCCTGCTGAACATTTTGCTTTCTCTACCATCTTGTTGCCCTAGGCAAATGCAGCTGAGTCCTGAAGGAATACAGATCTGTTGATGTGAATCCTGGAATTATGCAATAATTACATCCCTGTAATGCTAATAACAATATCTAACCTCATGATGTGTGCTACAGATGTCATGAGCAATGCTGCAGAATGAATCTTAAGGCTCTCTACGACACTGAATGGTTGTTTCCAACTGTTCTCCCAGGAAGACAAGTGTTGATGCTGAGGAGTGCATGTTGTTTCTGTCTGGATGTGTGGCTTGGGCACTATGTCCCCTGCATCACCAAGCCAGAGCTGCACTTCTCCTGGCATAGGACAGCCTGTGCACCACAGCTGTGCCAACTCAAGTCCAGTTCCCACTCCCTGATCCTGGAGGCAGAAAGGAGGAGATGACCTGGTACTTGAAGTGACGGGGCTGGGGTAAGAGAATTGTAGAATATTCTGAGATGGAAAGATCATCAAGTCCAACTCCTGGCTCCACACAAGACCAGCCAGAAATCAAACCATATGTCTGAGAAGGATAAGGAGTCTGAGGCTGTGCTTGAGGTCTCATGATATGTAACTGGCCCAGCAGAGCATATGGATTCCAAGCACAGTTTCTTTTCACTTTGTTTTTAATCATTCCTCAGGCTACCGAGCTGTTCATTAAGTGCTGTGAAGTACATTGGCAGCAGCAGACTTGTTAATGCTGCTGTGCTGGCAGGTTTGTTACCTTGCACAGTTGGGATGCAAATACCTCTCCTGAAGTGCTACTGCATCGTCACACACTGTGCCTTTGATTCTACTCATCCAAATGTCCTGAGCTGGAGAGGGGATCATCAGCTCCAGTTTGGAGCTGGAGTGCTGGGCACTGCTTGCGTTGGAGACTTCAACTGCCCTTGTGCTGGGCAGTTGCAGGTGGGTGCTGGCTCCCTGTGCCCAGTTACACGTCCCATTGGCTCCTGGTTAGCAGCAAGCCTGTAGGTACAGTAGGTTTCCAAGCTCCCAGGCTGCTTTCTGCCCCCTCCTCCCAGTCCCTTGCTCTTCTGCCACTTCTTATGCAGTGTTTCCCAGCTACAAGATCCCAGCCAGCTCTGGTGTTTCCTGTGGCTGACAACAGCGCTTCCTTGCATTTGAGGGAGGAATAAGAAACCCTGTTATTTTTGTGGTACTTGTTCATGTGTTCTACTTGAGAAAGCATTTGTTAAAAGGGTCAGTAGGGTTAGAAAAGATAAATTTGGCCCCTGGGCATGCTGTAACTTGATGGGCACGAACTTTCTGCATTGCTGGAGAGCCTCCTTCAGAATCTTGTAGTGTTGTCATATCAAAGGCTGGCACTGGCAATAGCAGCACCATCCACACTCACTTTTCTTTCTGGCAAAACAATTGCTGGGAAACTATTTGTATTATTTGCCTAAGGATGACTAATACTTGAGAGTAGATGTCTGTGCAATGTAGGGTTGTGCCTCTGAGGTCTCAGCATTTGCCCTCTGGTTTCTTTTCCTAAGAACACAGCCATCTCTGAAAAGATAATAATGAAAAATACTTAACAGGAATCCTTTTTATTCCCCCTTTTTGGCAGTGACTCATCCTGAAATTAAGTTCTTAAAAGATGCCCATCTCAGTTGAGGCAAAACTGGAGCCTATGTGATGAGCAGGATAAGCCCTGGAGGCCCTCATCTCCTCTGTGACTGCTCTCCTGTGTACTTTGAGGAGTTTCTGTCCCAGCACTTGATTGAGAGGCAGATGTTCAGCATTCTCCTCTTTTCACAGTGCTTGGGCTGCCAAAGGCTGGTCTGCGCTCCTGGAAGCTGCTGAAGATGGCTGGAGCATCCCTGGGCTCTGATGGTGAGGGACAGCTAGACTTCCAGCATGTTGTATGGCCAAAGTGCAGATGGCTCCTTGCACGGCTCTAAGCAGCTCACTGTCATGAAGCAGCCTGCTAGAGCACCCCAAAGTAGTGTTAATTCCCTTTGTTTCATATTCATTCCCTGTGGAATGAAGCCACCAGGAACTAAGTTTTTGACTTGTGCATGCCATTTTTGAGCACTGTATATTACTCTGATTTGGAGGGCGTTGGCCTGAGCATCCTTCTGTTGCTCATGAAGATTTCAAGCTCTGACAGCTTTCTTCTTTTTTTTTCTTTGGTAAGCAGATTTTATGCAGTTGCAATCCTACTCTTCTCTCCCATCACATTTCAGGACAACGCCTCCTTCCTTCCTAAAGAAGCTATTAGCTTGCATGCTCTGAACCAAAATGTTAGCTCAGCTGTAACAGATGGATGGATATGGGTATCATGTGGCAAGTTAATGAATAATATCTATCACCTAATTTCCCGAAAGTTGGCATGTAATGAGGCTGGTGCCATGATTATTACCTCTGTAAATCATGACTTTAAGATGATGACAATCCTGCCTGCCCCAAGGATACGGGACAGCCAGACAATGATGTACATTTAATTGCTGTGTGAGAGAGGCAATGTGTTAGGGAGCATGCCATTGCCTCTAAATTATCTTCTGCAGCACAGACGTTGGAGGAGATTAGTGCAGATTGGAGGGGGAGGGAGGGATCTGCTGTGCCTCTTGGTGTTGTGTGTATGTGTTTCTTCACTTGTTGTGGTCCGTTCAACTCCCAGGTCTGCAGCTCTGATACCTCCTCAGGATGGCGGAAGCATTTGAATGGATCTGGGAAGGGGTTCATCTAGAAAAGCATCTTCAACTATTGTCCATCTAAACATCTCCATGTTTACAGATGTTTTCTTTGTGGTTTTTTTTGAGTGTTTGGGGATGGATGCTTCCTGGGGCAGAAGACTGTGGTCTACCAAATGGAAGACCTAAGCCTGGGGGGGTTAAAGCTGTCAAATCTCTGCCCAAACTTCCAACACAGGAAATTGCTGTCCCTACTTTGTTCTTGCCACAAACCACGGCTGGCCATGAAGCTGAGTCTTCGGCAATTAACTTGTGCATGTTCACTTCCTACCAAGGAGGGGAAGGCATCCATGTTGGCAGTCCCTCCAAGACTGTCCCATTGTGGATATATTGACTGAACCCCCTGAGGTGTCTTTTATTAAGTACTACACTGCAACAGCTGACAAGGATCTGGCTGGGCTGTGAACAAGTCAAATATTGCAACTGACCTGTGGAAAGTAGTATGGTCTGTCTTTGCTGCTGGTTAATCCTGATGTTTTTTACTTCATGCTCTCCTTGCTTGAGAGCTTCAACAGATTTGTTTATTCTTTCCTTCTTTTCATTCTGCCATGGTCCCTCTGAGGCACTGGTCTGCAAAATCACAGGCTGGCTGGGTGGGGGAGCCATGCCACTGCTCCAGTCCTCCCCTACCCTAAGTGCTTCTAAAGCTGTGTGGTGAGCCGAAGTAAAATGGCCATCAGGCTGTGGCCAAAAACCTTCTGCCCTGGAGTCCTGACCAGCAGTGCTAGGTTGCCAGAGGAATGGGCTAACAGGCAGCCGAGTGGTGGGACAGTGTGCTTGGAAGGGATGCAGGGACATAGTGATGTGGGCTGGAGTTGCTTCCTTGCTTCTTTCTATATCCAGCTCTTGCACAGAGATGAGCTCATTTATCATGGTTTGCCCCCATGTCTGTCTCTCTTCCAGCCGAATTGCTTGACTCCCAGAGTGGTGAGCACTTGCCCTCCTCTGGCCCTGGATTGCAGGGCCACCAGTGAAAACATTTAGGAGTATTTCACTGTTTTTGTGTAATAAGGCTTCTCTTCTCCAAAGTAAGCAAACACAAACTTGTCAATGATTTGCGGTGTTGTAAGACATTCTCAAACCTGCTGAGGGGGTGGTAACTGCTGATCCAGCGATGGTGCAGCTCATGGGTTTTCCCAAGCAACATCAGTTTCTTCAGCACAGTTCTGTGCAGTGAATTGGCTGCTGTCGGTCTGAGCTCTGTTTAGCCTTTTTGTCACTAAAGACATTGTAATGCTTATGGAATTAGTGATTGCGTAAGCTGGCTGTCTCTGAGTGCGCTTTGCTGTGGTGTAATGCTCACTTAGGGTTAGGTAGAGCAGGCAGCTGAGCAGGGGGCATGACAAAAGTACAGATCTGCAGTCGAGAGACTTAAATTTAACGCACCCTGCAGGAAAACACAGATTTTGGAGTTTTCACATATTCTCTCTAGCTCACTAGATTAGAGGGAGACCGTGGGAAAGCTGCCAGGGCTGGGAGTTAAATCCAGCCTTTGTAAATCCTTTCATCTGACTGGCAGATTCAAACAATTGAGTATTACCCCGTATATTATTGTTAGTTGATTAAATTCCTGTTGGTCAACACAAATAGCGCTGTGCAGGCAGTGTGCTTGTGAGATGGAAATTGGCATTGCAAAGCACGTTGTGCAGCAAGGCGGGGGTGACTCTTCCATTATAACTGTGTTTAGGGTACATTTGGGGGAGAGAGGGTGGGAGAGAGGACAAATCCAGCTGTCCAAACAGCTTCCATGGCTTTCCTTACACATCTGTGAAGGCTGAGCCCACTGTGAGCCAGGGTCAGGATCAGGCCTTTGCCTTCCTGGCTGCAGGGGGTGAGCAAGCAGCCTCTGTGGGGGTCTGATAACTGAGCACAAGTATGAGAAGGGTGGGGAAACGTGGGGGTGGATTGAGCACAAACAGTTAGGATTAATGGAATGAAATTAGGTGAAGGAGAAAGTCATTGGGAAATGTTTCCTCAAGGTGAAAGCTATTAGGTTCTGGAATAGTTTCTCTGGGAAGGTAATTGTGTGGCTTGCTTGCTTAGATTGTGTTTAAATAAGGACAGGAGGAAAATCTGCTTTGGGGAAACCTGAAAGTCCCTCCATGGACACAGGTAATTTCTGAGACTGGTCTCTTGGTACGGCAGGAGCTTCTGTTATCCACTGGATTTGGAGAAACTGAGGCTGACATCTCTACCAGGAAGGAAGACATTTGTGTCTTGATCTCTTCGTATATCCCTTCCTTTTGTCCCAGTTCTGCCATGTTATGGGTACACAGAACGCTGGGCTCTTTCACTGACTCATGGATGTGACACTGCAGAGCAAGCAGGGGTCCGTGCTTGCAACTTATTCCTGTGAACTTGTGCTTTAAAGCCAAAATACCAAATCAGCATTCAAAGCTGAATATGCAGAAGTGGCTCCTGTAGTTATTTGTGCAGTTTGAGCAACTGGACTGGGAGCTAACCATGGAGGCAGCTTTTGGCAACCCAGAGCTGTGCGTGTTAACCTTTAGGGAGCGGTCAGCTTAGTCCAAAGGGCTTCAGCAAGAGGTAATAAACCTGTTAATGAATAACAGTGGAGGCTGACTGTGTTGCATGGTTTAATTGTTGAACGCGTCCTCAGGGAAATGTATCCTTAGGTTTGCACAGTCCTTTTGCAAAGCCGTAGCATGTATTTGTTTAGCTTGTGGAATCAGAAAGTCTATTCTGATTACCTGATCATTGTGGGATTGATTTTTATTATCCCTGGTGGGCTCATGCCTGGGCTGCCCTCAGCTGCCCTGTGCAAGGTGACAGTGCAGTTCTCCCAGGAACGTGAGTTTCCCCAATAGCCAGGGACCTGTTGGATGGGATGCTCCCCACTCATGTTCCCTTTGCAGTGGAATTGACTCAGTGTCCTCCTAGAAGATCAGTGCTGGGAAAGGCTGGCCTTGTCATGCATTCCAGAAAACCCCTGGGTTTGAGTGGTAGCCTGGATGATAGCAAAGCACAGTTATCAGAGAGATATGAAAATTGACTTGCTCTTTCTAAATGATTGCTCCTGCTTTTATTGTACTAACGTTGTACTATTAACTGATTTAAAACAGTTATTTCCTATTGTCTCATTGCATCAGTGCAGCCCAGTGATACCTTCTAATCTACTCCTCTATCTTATTTCTACTTCTTTAATAACATAGTGTCTAAGGTATTATCTAGCCTTTCTTTCCAGGCATTAATTATACGTTAGCTGTATCCAGATTCTTAAACTATGCCACGTGTCATTCTATGCAGGTATCTGGAATCCCTGTTATGCTTAGTTTTAGGTTATAGCATATTTTTGGCTGGCCTACTGCTGTTTCCAGCTGGCCCTGACAAACCATCCACCAGCACCACGTAGCCAACACATTGCACTTGACAGCCCTTTTCCTGTTTAATTTCCTTTTGCAAGCTCCTCCAGCAGGGCTGCAGGTGCTGGCAGAAGACTGCAGGTAGAGAGAGGAGTATCAGTACTTTCTGAAAAGAGGATTTTTCCCCATGCCTGTGTAAGAACACAGGCAATGGTGTGTGATTTGATGGCAAGAAGGGGCTCCTTCATGACCCAATTACTTGTTGTTAAATTATATCTCAGGTGAAAGCTGGCAGGAGTCAGATTTATGCCTTCTTTATGCTCGACACTGAAGGACTGCACAGTAGAGAAACTGTAAATACTTCATAGTTTTTATGTGTGGCTGTTATTCCTGGCTGTGCTCAGTCCTCGGAGGTGTACAGAAGACACGCACCTTCCTCCCATGGTCATGCTGCCACTGGAATGTGTTTATCAAAACTGAGTTAAATCACTAGGCATTTGGAGCGTGTAATGTTTAACTACAGCTGGCAGAACAACGGTGTGAGTCTCTCTGTTTTTCTGAGTCTGACTGGAAAGGAGGAACTGCACAATGGGAAGAGGGAAGAGTTATCTCAGCAAGTACCCAAAGCCACCACTTGCATTTCTGGCGGTCTCCTCTCCTCTTCTGAGCCGCAGTGCGAAACCTGTGCTCTGAAAGTCTTCATAACTGCTGGCAGAGCAGTTGTGCTTGGTGCTCTGGCCTGTAGTAGAGATTAGCTTCCTTGCTGGGACCCCCAAGAAGCACTTTGTCACTGGGAGATCTGCACATCAAGCCAGCTAATGGCAAAGTGTGCCCATATCCCAAACCTAGCTATGGGTGAACACTGGGACCTGTTCTAGTGCTTTGCCTATCTGGTGTGAGCCACTGGTTTAAGAGCAGTAGTTTCTTCTGACAAATAGGAAATGATGCAGGGTTTCTTCCTGCAGTGCAGCCAAGCTCCATATTGTTGGCCATAGAAATTTTTGTCTTTGACACCAGTGCACACAATCCCCAACTCAAGAAGAGCTTAGCGTGCAGGGATTTATACGTTCCCCAGTGATTGCCTTAAGCCATAGGCTTGTGGCTATTTTAGGCTTTCTCTGAGGTTCTAATAGAAATTTCATCCTGAGCTGAAAATTGCATGAAATTGGATACATTTCCATTAAAAATGCTCTCTTGATAAATCAGCATTTCACTGTGAAGAAATGTTGTATTTAAAAAAAAAAAAAAAAAAAAAAAAAAAAAAGAAATTCCCAACCAACTCTTTTTCCACGTAGCATGGCTGAAGCAGGTGGTGCTGTGAAACCAGGTGTGTGCCGGGCAATTGAGCAGGAATTTCCTCCTGTCCACCCCAGGTGTGACCTGGGGCATTGCAGAGATTTTTGGCACTGCTAATCCTGGCCAAAGCCTTGCGATGGGTCTTCCTTAACCCCTGAGCCAGAGCTCAGCTGGCCTCTGAACTAGCGACTGTGATCCCAGTTTCTGTTGCTCTTGTTTGCTTGTTTTGTTTTTTTTTTTTTTAATTAGCTCTTGCAGTGTTTCACACCGTCTGGCTTTTTTTCGGCTGTCACTCTCACCCTCTGTCTCCAGTGGCAGATCCCTGAGCCCAGCCTGCAGTTGGCTTTGCTGCCAACTTGCAGGGGGGGATGCCGAATTCCTGGGCACATGGAGGTTGTGCTGCTGGGCCCCTGGCTGGGAGAGCTTTGATCTTGCTCCAGCCTTTTCCCACCGAGGCATCATTTTTGAACGAGTTTCTGCTTTCAGCCTTGTCCTATGCAGCAGACAAAGGGGGCTGGGGAAGGAGGGGGAGGGAAGGCTGTTTACCCTCATCAGGAATAGTCAAGCAGCCTGAGTCAATAGAGCCTATTTTTCATTAACCTAATCATTAGTTTTTCTCTCTGCCAATTAAACTTTTCCTCTTGGTACTGCAGAGGGCATCATTTCATCTATGAGATTTTTTAAATGGGGGGCTCCTTGTACATCATGGAGGTATCTGAGGACTGGGAATTAAAGTTTAATTTCTCTCTGCTCGGCAGAAGAGTTTTGAGCTTTAATTATCACCCAGCTTGGATTCCTGACAGTTGAGGACCGTGTTGGAGAGGCTGGTTTCCATTGTGTGCAGCGGATAATTATGCAGTCCTCTCTTAGGCTTGCTGAGTTTATTGTCCAGAAGAATCTTCCCAAGCAAAGGGGAGAGCAAATTTACAATCAGAAATGCGTTTTCAGAGCCTGCAAAAGTTTCAGCTTGATGTTAACAAAGAAAGACCTTTGCAAGTATTTATATACATTTACAACAAAAACATCAATTTGCTTTATAATCAGCCTTTTTCTCCCACAGGTTGCTTAGGAAGTAGTTTTGTAAACTCAGGAGAGCCCTTCTGCAGCTGGACTGCTTTGTGCTATTGCTTTCTAAGCAGAATTCCTTCAAAGGCAGTTGGAATTTCTGCATAAAGCCTACCAGCCCGTTTGTACGTACAGCGTTGAATATAAATTTACAGCCAATTGAAACTGGGTAGGGCTTCTTACCTGGGAAGTAATGCTAATGTGTCCAGGAGAAAATGTTTTTGGATTCAAACAAATCTAAAATTTCAAAGCAAAACTACATCGGAACTGTTCCATTTCACAAGGCTCTGGATTAACCTGATGTCTTCTGTACAGGCTTTTGAACTATTTGTGATTAGAGGCTTGTTATAAAATTGAAGAAACTCAGCAAAGGGCTTGTCAAATATGCTGAAGTTTTAAGCAACAACAGCAATCCCCCAAGGTGGGGGAGATCTGTGTGCATTTGTGTGAGCTCAAATCTGGAGAGAGACATTTTTGTGTACGTGGACACAACTGTCTTCATAGCCATCTCCAGGCCCTTCCCTTCTCATAGTGTCTGCAAACCTTGACTGTGGTTTGGCTGTTTTGCTGCTGAGGCTGTTTCCAAACCAACATGGGTTCTTGGCATTCCTCAGCTCGCCTGCATTCGTTGAGCCCCTCTCTTTGGGACAGAGGCCATATGTTGTTGCTATAATCATACTGAGCTTGGTGTGTGTTGGCCTTCTGTGATTTAGGATTACTGATTTCTGTGGAAAAGCTGGAAATGATAACTCCTAAAGATGACAACTCTCTTGTCTGGAAGAACTAACTCTGAAATCTCTAGCAGTATTTTAAAGCAGCCAACTGTTTCCAATAGAACCTTTTTATTGCCTGTATCCTATTAGTATCCCAGGGTTCTAAGCCAGAACTAGTTCTTCGTGTGCCCTTACCTGCTCTTCTTTCACCTTTCTTTGCCAGCCACTGTGCAGTTCAGTGAGAATTTCTGCAGGAGATGGAAAATGAAAATGCTTGGATGGTTTCAGATTATTGGGTCTCGTGTGCCAGTTGAAGACTTGCTGATTTCATTTTTGCCTTTAAATAACTATGGTATTTCCTTTCTGGAATTTAAGTGAAATATCCATAGATTTTCTCACATGTAGTGCATTCAGGATACTCATGGAGAACAGAATTGAAGCACTGTTGGGTCACCAAACCCATCCCTTTGCTTCAAGGCAGACCCAGCTGTACCTACACTGCTCCCAGCAGATGTTTATGTAACTTCTTCATGAGAGCCATCATCAGTGGCAGTTTCAACCACCCAGGGCCATCTCTTTCAGCCTTCCTGTATCCCTGTTATTAGAGAGCTTGCTCTCCCTGGGTGAACACAGAGAGCAATTTGTTTGCTTCTTCTTTTGATGATCACTTACATACTTGAACCCGTTACTATGTCTTTGTTCAGCCATTTCTTCTCCAGGCTAACCAGTCTGTGTTCCTTTGAGCTCTCCTGCTAGATTATACTTTCCACTCTCTGATCCTCCTTATTTTTCCCTGAATTCCTTCCAACTAGTCCGCCTGACTCCTGAAGCACGATGCCTAAAAGTGGACACAGATCTGTATTCAAGATCCTTAGCAGCACTGATGATGGAGGATTATTTTCTCAGTTCCTATTTAGGGTTCTTGCTTCTGCATCACAGTGTGATCCTACATACTGCTTTTACTGGAGCATGACATGGGCTCTTGTCCATGTTACAAATTGCAAATGTCCCTAACATCCTTTTCCACAGAACTGCTATGCATGAGGAATTGAAGGATGCTGCCACAAAACTGTAGGTCCAGTGGAGGTTTTAGGCATAGTAAGTTGATTGTATGGTGGGTCAGCCTTTAGTTGCTGTTGTATGGACAGGGACAGGGTCCTACTATGAGAACATCCCAGGTGAGATGGGAGAAGATTGTGTTTTGGATGTGGGAGGGAGGAATTAATCAACCAGTGGAGACCAGTACAGTGTGTACCCTTACTGTCAGGAGTTCTTCCTTTTCATCATCTTGTTGATTGCTGGAGGCTGCAGCATCTGTTGAGGTGCACCCAGAAGGAGTGGACTCTTCTTCCCAAAGCAGTCACACCATTCCAAATGTTTTGAGTCCTTAATAGCCAGTAGTTTTGAGTCGTAGAAGCCACTAATCAGCTTTGGGGCTTTTTTTAACTGGGTCACGTGACTGAGTTACCAAGATTAAAGCAGCACGAGGAAGGAAAAGAGGCTTAAACAACTCAGGGTGCCTGGCAGGTCATTTTAACCTTTTCATAATCATTAAAGCTGCAGAATCCCATTAGCTGTGAGGAACTTGCAGCCCAAATGAGTGTTGTTGACACAACTTTGTTTACCTCTCTCTTGCCCCAAGGAAGAGTCCAGCCCAAGTAGCTCATAGGATCTGGTCACGTCAATGGAAAAGTTTATCCATTCCCTTTTGTTCATCAGTGATGTCTGTTGCACCAATGAGAAGCCATACATGGATCTGTCCAGTGTGGGGGATTTAGATCTCAGTATCTAAAATTAGTCCCTTATGGGAGATCCTGGATGGGCCATACTGTGGTAGATCAGCCCTTGTCCATCTGTAGCAATAGCAGAGAGGTATAGGATAAGAAAGATTATGATGATCTCCTAATTCACTGCTTTGGCACTGGTCAGTAGGCTGTGACTTTACTCTGCTGGATTTGGTGGCAGCAGTTCTTGCACTGTTTTGGTATTGCCATGACCACGGGAAGTGAATCTTTGTGATTGAATCTGCATTGACTAAGGAATGGGACAACCAAAGATCCTCTGGTCTGCTTGTGCTGTTTATGTTGTCTTCAGTTTTTTACTTGCAGGTTTTCATGAGCACAGCATCACCTACAGTAGTCAGTTAGATGTTGCCCTGTTCTTACGGCTTCTGCATCTTCTGTTGTCTCCCTTCCTATCATCCAGTAAGCGCCTGACGTAGTAGTGCTGGTACCACACTCTGGAAGGGAGAATCACTCTGATCCACCTAAAATTTGAACATTCTTCTGTACTCTTTGAAATTGTTCTCTTGGTATTCATACAGTCCGTTGAGCCCATCCACGTGGTTGGACTGCACACGGCATCTTAAAGAGGCCAAGCAAGACCTGAGATCTGCCCATTGTCACAGAGCTGTGGTGGGTGCTGGAACTGATCCAGGGAGCACCTGCTGCCTCTGACGGTGCAGGCTTTTCTATGCACAGGGCAAGCGTGCTGCAGCTCGTGTAAATCAGCTTCCCTCTGTTACACGTACGCCAGTCAGAGCTGTCTGGCTGTGCATGTATTGGACACAAATATTTCTAGCACTGTTTGCATCTAATTATAGTCCATCCACTTTTGCTTGAAAGCTCAGTCTGAGGCTGAACCTCAAATAAATCTGATGCTGATTGTTCTCAGAGTTTTGTCCTCAATTAGGCATTAAAACACAGCTTGCAAAGCAAACACAAATCTTTTCCTAGGTTGTTTGCCTTCAGAATCTCTGGAGGGTAGAAAGAAAGTTTTCCCTGGGAAGCCTGGACAAACAATAGTGGATGATCATTGTGGCTGAGCTGGGCTGTGCAGGCAGTGGGAACAGGTAGAAGATTTTGCTGAGAAATTTGGGAATCACCATTTTTCCCTATAAAGGACAACAAAATGTTCTACTATTCTCCTGTGTCGAAATGTAATTCACACAGCAAGATAAAGTAAGACTCTCTTTGCTGCTTTATTTCCCTCTTCCCACTAAGCAGGTTGTACAGGTTAGTAGTGGGGTGCAAGAGCTCTCCAGTGGCTCCTGCGTTGCTTTTTTGGTG